AATGTACCGTCGGGATGTGCGATATCTCGAGCGGTTTCATCAGCAGTGCCTGCGGCGAATTTTGCGGATCGGCTGGGGCGCCAGAGTTGCAGACACGGAAGTGTTGCGCCGAAGTGGGATGTATGCAGTGGACGGCATACTTTTACTGCGACACCTGAGATGGCTCGGTCATGTGAGCCGTATGGATTCGACGCGAATACCGAAACAACTTTTATACGGTCAGCTGAGTATGGGGAAGCGGCATGCTGGGAAACCCAAGTTACGTTACCAGGACATGATTAAAGTGAGCCTCACACGTTCTAATCTTGATTGCAGATCATGGGAATCGAAGGCGGCTGATCGTGGTGCATGGCGCGATCTGATCACGAAGGCAGTTGCTGAGGTGCGGGAGAAAGGCTTCATGCATGCAGAGAAGAAGCGGCAAGTGCGGAAGCGGCAAGCACCGATGAATTGTACTCCATCGACATCGAGCGCATTGTGCTGTAGAACATGCGGTCTCCAGTGCCTTAGTCAGGCAGGCCTAGTGAGCCATGAGAGAGGTCACTCGGGACCACTGCCGAAGCGACGACGGGTCCCGCAGTGAAAGTAGGCAGCACCGGCGCAGCGTTTGTAGGCACGCTGAATTCGATTTACTAACCACGTGCTTGCATGCTGACTCTTTACTTCAGGTGGTGGGTTTTCGGTTCTCTCCTAATGCCTTTCTTTCTCATATAAATGTCTAGTGGGCCATACGCTGTGCCATTTGGAGCCACTACAGAAGCGACGACGGGTCTTGCAGAGAATTACGACGAGCCGGCGCAGCGCTTGTAGGCACGCTGAATTCCATTTACTAACCGCGTGCTTGCATGCTAAGTCTCTTTATTTCAGGTGGTGGGTTTACAGTTTTTACCTTAATGCTTTTCCTTCTCATATAAATATCTCCCTGTACTTTATTCCATTAACTTGCACACATCACTTCAGCCAATTGTATTCGATTTCCATAACATTTTTGTGTTCGTATCATTCCGTGAACTATACTTCCTGACCTCGTGCACTTAGCTAGGATTTGTTTGTAAACAACTTATTACGTATGCTATATAATTAAGGTTTGTGTCACCGTTTCCTTTTGCATTAATCGAGTTTTTCTCTTTTTCTTTCTCTCTCTCAAGTTTTTGGCTATTGTTTGATATCCCCGGTGTGCATGCGCTTGATGTGCATGTTGACAAGGTGCCTACCTGTCTATTACCCACTACCTCGTCCATACTGGCTCCAGGAGACAGTTGGTCGTTGCTGGAGGGGACGGGGTGCACGGTCCTTGTGGCCGTGCTAGGCTCAAAGAGCGGTTCCATGCAGTCAGTGTGGAGCGGACTACGGTCCAGCCAACGCCTTGTGTGCGCTTGATTCCCCAAATACAGTATGCTTGTGTTTGCCTGTGAAGGAGTGTGGGCCGGCTCCGTTGATGCGACGTGGTTCCCATCCGCATGCCTCCCGGTCTTATTCCTTCGGGTTTACACTGGATATGGGGTATGTGGTTGGAGCTGTGGGTGGTGCAGCGCAAGCCATCCATGGTCCCTCTGTAGGCGCAGGCGTCCTGTGGCTTGCCACAGTGACAGGCAAATCCGAAACCGGATGCCGCCAACCATATACACGTGTGTAATTGTGTAGGAATATAGCTTGTGTTTTTGAATGCGCTGCAGAATTTTTGGCTGATTGTTATCGTCAGGAAAGTGAGAATAAGCGATTGAGTTTCGTGGGTTGGATAGCGTTTTCTGAATATCCACGGGCCAGTGACTTTAGTTTGTGGCGAGTCACATCCGCCACGTGGCAGTGTTGTTAAGCAGACATTTGTGGCTTTTTATAGAGAGAACGCTTGTCAGGCGAAAACCCACCACGTCCTGAAACACTGCCGCCGAGCTATTTGCCGGAACGGGTTAAACCCGGACCACCCAGCTGGCACCACGAGAAGGTTGTTCGGCTAGCCAGTCTTGTTCGGCTAGCCAGCCTTGTTCGGCTAGCCAGCCGAACTTTTGGTAGTCCGTACGAGAGTGCAATGTTTGTATCATCAGCTTTCAGTCACCATCTCGCTGTGGCGGTGAGCTCGTTCCTTGTTTGTAATTTATTCAGCGTTGCGTTGACCTGGTTGACTAGTTTTGAAGTTGAATCTTGATGGGTCTGGTGATATGTAGTTTTGTCTGATAGCAGTTATTTGGCCTTGTTAAGATACTCTGCTTTGTCCATTATCACTACCATACGTCCTTTATCTGCTGGTAGGATTACAATGTTCTCGTTTTTTGTGGGCGTCTGAATGCATCCTGTTCCTCGTTGGTTAGGGTCTGGGTGTGTTTATTCCGAGTGAGCACTGGGGCAACGGTCTGCCCTATCTGTTACTAGGACTCTTCTGACAATCCATTTGATTTCAATGCGTGTTTTGAGCTGGGCAAGTAGTCTTTTTGGCAAGCGTCTCTGAAGTTAAACCTAAGCCCCTTAAACAAAACATCTTCTTCGGTTGCAGTGAAGTGGCGGCATGAAAGGTTTTTATCCGTCATTCACTGCTGGCCCAGTCATTTCTCTCAGGTGTTTTGTCTAACTTTGTGTTCAATGCAATCTTCCGTCGGTTCTTAGTGCTTTTGACTCTACGTTCCATTGCGGATTCTAGCGCTGTTCGTAGTTGCGGCTCAAGAGTACTGAGGCAATTGGTTATATCGGCGGTTGTGAACTTCTCGTATTTGCGTAGGCGTTTATAGGCATCTGTTATCATCAGTTTGACCATGCGTCTCCCGTTTGGTCGTGCTAAGTTCCGGGCGGCTGGACGGTTTAGCGCAGGTCTATGGTTGGTACTTGCTGGCAGCACGTTTCTTCTCAAGCATTCATGAAGGAAGTTGAGCGGCGCGCGTGTGCAAGCTTGTTGGCAGGCAAAGGTTTCCCAAGGACTAGCTTGTTGTGGCGTCGTACGCCCTAGTTGGTTGGCTATAGCAATGAAGACTGGTAGCTCAGGTTGTTCATATAGCTGTTGAACTGTTCGCTGAGCTTGGCAAGTTTGTTGCAAACGTTTCGTCACCAATCGATGTGAGATCATCAGTGCGTAGTTGAGTGGCAAGCAATAGCGTACAGGAGCGTATGGGAGCCTCGGTGAGATGCTGCTCTAAGCTCCTCTACAATGTTCCGTGTCATCGGCCCACCACGCCACAACTTGAAGGGCTTTTCCATCACACCTATGAACAGCAGGTTCATGTACTTAATAGGGAAGTCTGCCATAATGTCCGTTCGCTGGGCTTCGCAAGGTGAACAACGGACATGATGCGCACATTGTTGTCGGATGTGGAAAGCCTCGTTGCTCCTTACAAAATCCTCCGGGGAGGGTGGGAAGGTCATGCCATTGTCTGTATGCAAGCCTGAGTGGGATACATTAATCTAATACTACTACTGGAGGTGCGGTAATGTGTCATAACATCAATTTGCAATTGCAAGTTTAATAGCTGTGGAGGCGGGAGTGTATGCTGATTGAAGGTACACCGTAATGCGATTTCCAATCCAAGTTGCAAAAAACCTATACCCTTGATGAAGTGTTCAAAACACTAACGGTGGTTTTTCATGAGGATTGTGAGGATGCGGGCAAGTATGGGTGTACATTTCAAGAAATTCACAGAAGTATATTGACCTGATCTACGGTGATGTTGGCTGCTAAACAGGCAGCGTGTAAACCTTCCTTAAAAGTGACGCTGTCTGAAGGACATAGAATGCTGACTGCAGGAACCAGAATGGGTGATATGGCATGACGGAAGCAATCACTGTTAGACTTCTGAATCTCCCTGCATTCTTGCACTTCCTCAGTGCTTCCGTTGGATAAAACAAAGGTTGCAGGAGCACTCGTTGCTTATAGAACTACTGGTAAGCCAGTGTTATTGCTAGCACAGGCAGGTTCATGGACACTCCTTTCCTTCGTCCAGAAAAATGTAAATGCATCAACATCGGCGGATGAGGTAAAAAAACGTACAACCAGTAGCATACGTTTAAATATATGAGAAGAACGTAGATTTCTGAGCCCTTCACCACTCCACCGTGTCATAGGTTGTACAGTCGACCAAGACTCCACTCGCAGGCATGAACCATTCTTCCGTCATCGCGCACACTTCAAGCGGATGAAAAATAGGAATCCATAAAACTGTCCTTCCCTCCGAATCCCATAGATCTTGAGAAAACCAACAATAATCCGACGCACATAAATAGGTTTATACTGCAAAGTGCGCTACAAAAGCAATAGGGATTTTACGTAACAGTGAAAACTCAGCGTCAAACACCAATAACGGATATTTCTCCACCGCCCTAATTTATTCTGAACGCTGGCGCCCGGGCGCCTAATGGTGCTGACAAGGTGAATTACAACATTCTTAATCTAAGTGGCTCTAATGACTAGGGAATACTTTGTTTCAGCATGCAATCAGGCGCTACTGTTGTTGTATTCCTGTTGAGAGTTACTTGACCACAATGAAACCATTCATCACAATTCGCCCGCGTCCTTCGGTATAATGAAGTTTGCGATAAAACCTTGCATAAAAGGATATATCCAGCGTAGTTATTTGTTTTAAAGTGCACACTGTCCACCCAACGGTCAGGTCAATGCAGTTCAAATTTTTTTGTATGCAAGGACAAAATTTTTAGTACTTATTTAACGACAGTTTCAACATCCACACAATGACACTTCCTAGTAATAATAAGGAATCAACTTTGTGGATAAAGAAAATGTTCCATGCATGCGAAGTTCCTATTTTAGATGTCACTGAAAATTTTCCTTCGCAATTGATGGCAGGGGCATGGTAGTTTTCTTCAAATATACGGAACGCAAAAAAGAGAGTTGCATGCTGCATCTACATGGCATCGATTATAACAGTTGTTTTGTTTGCGCAATTAAGTAACCTGCATAAACGTTTCTCATACACGCAACCGTATTTTAAGTTTTGGAGGTATGCGGTGTACTTTCTTCAACCCGTACCTTTTAAACGCCTATTATTTAGTGTCCGTAACCCACACAAGGTCGGCTTGACATCCAAGTTCATCACTTAATGGCGGGATTTTCGAAGTTGCTCTGTGATGTCGCGCTCGATTTACACCAACGAAAGAACTTACTTGATGACAGTAAAAATTCGGTAAATTTGATTCACACAGATTGCGAAGCTATCTGTGTTTCCCTGCTGAAAATGTTGTTTATCATTAATAAGTCTCGTTCGCATAAATCCGTAGACCCTAAGATTCTTCTTACACATCGTTCAAAGCCTTCAATGCACAAAGACTCTGTTGAGTGGGAATTTCGAATGATTACTGGAACCACTTCTGAATTTTATACCGATCTCCTATCATTAAGGGAAATTTTGCTGCAACTTCCATCAATATCAGCTGGCATGTTATACTTCTTTCGTTCAGACTCGTCCATCATCGACAACCTGTGCTTCTCGTTTGTTACTTTCCTAGGTGATTTCGGTCTGTCCCCTAAGTTGTCATTATTCATACGCGGTCTAGTAACTCCTCCTCAGAAGGTGGATTTCAGCCACTACAGCGAAACTGTTATCGTGCATCTTTCCCAGTATCTTATCTCTAGATCACCTGGAGTGGATCGTTTCTTATCCTTTTTATTTTCGGATTTGATCTCAGAAATTACGATTATAGACAAAACACATACAACTGCTGCAGAAGTTGATAAGTGTTTACCACACGACATTCAATCCATCCGTCCATCTCCTCTGCATTCAGCTGACAGATTAGTGTCACTGCTGAATCTATTGTTTTCAAAACTCTCTAGTTCTATTACACTTGTGCCAAAACTATTGATTCAATTTCTTGGGAGGATTCGGCATCATTTTAAAAACAATGAACATTCACTGGAGGACTTGGACATACGTCTGGTAAAGCTTTTCGTCGATACTCTTATGATCCCAGCAATTTTGTCGCCTAATGATTATGGCATCTTTTCCAAAGATTATCTAACTCCCGTTTGCCGCAAGCTGTTGAAGCAACTCGCTTTGGTGAGTTACGTATGGAATGACCTTTGTTGGTGTTTCCTTGTAGATTGCTCTCAGTCGTTTTAAAGTGACAGTTGTGACTACGCTTAGCAAACTATAACACGGTCTCATTGTAATCGAAAGCCCGTATTCCAACATTTTTCTACAATACTGTACAATATTGAGCATATTATGTTATTGGCGCTTAGATATCTCTCAGGGTCTAACAGGTTATACTAACTACACGATGCGCGGTCAATTTTATTTATCCACAGAACTTTTGGTCTTTACCTTCGCATTTTACAAACTCCGCGATATCGTTACTTACAATTGACCATTACCAACATATTGGTGTTAGACAATAGTTTCTGCCAGATATTCTTCACAAAATAGCTTAATTCACTCTTTACTCTTCCTGTTTCGCTAGTTTCTGTATTGACACTCTATAACCAAATCGGCACGACTACTACGCTCCGTTGCTTCCTAAGTTAACAGCTTTATCGTGTCCACGCTCAGCTATAGTGACCGCTTAGTGTATGCTGAAGAGACCTTTAGAGCGTTATGAGTGGCTAGCTTGTCTGCCCTCCCTTGTCCCGGTCAGACAGTATACCGTCATTCTTGCAATTCCCTTTTTAAATAGTTGTTGCTTTTGCAACTGAGAACTCACGTAAACCCGCGTATAATGCTTCACTACAAACGATTTTGTACCATTGCTTTGTGCGTTTTAAGCCAATGACATTCTTCATCGTTGCATTTCTACCAAGGAAGAAGTACTGCGCCAGCGATGCCGAAGCCTACATGTTTTCCTACTATGTCAATAGTGGTCGGTTGTCCTGTATGTAGCCCCTTTTAAGGCGTTTTTGCGAGTGAAAACGGGACACAGCATGGCAAACTCAGGTGATGCATTTGTAGACGTAACCGAGCAGGATCGCCGAGGTAAGGACCCGGCTTGTTTATAACGCGATGTCTGCCATCATCATTGTGCCTGCGACATTGCCAACCTGCATGTGGGATTCTTCACAAAGATCACTATCAAAGTCCGAAAGCATACATACGTCATCTAGACGAACCGGTGTAGATTATCACCAGTACAACAGTACCGTGCGAACAATGGAGTAGTAGACCCCACTCTTTAACGACAACAACACTGGAATCATTGGAATGTATAGTGTACAAGGAAAGACCTTTGTCGGCTCCATCACCTCGCAATTATAACAGGTGTTTGCGCAACAGAAATCAACAAGCTTTGGTTATCACAGTTGCATAAGAAACAACAAGATCTCTGCGAATTTAACAAGTATAACTACAACAACGGTCTAAAAGATTCCTCAGTCTGCGCGTTGACAAGGGAATCATGCAAGGAGTTCCAGTCATTCACCACACCAGTCGAAAGGGTAATATCAGAGCGAAGCCTGAGTCTCCCAGGTTTAAAGAGTTTCCAGCAGTAGCGCCCAGTCGAACACTCAGTGTTAATCTGGAAGAAACCTTAAAGCTCGATTTCCATCCCACCTCGCGGAATGCGCTGAGCCTAGGTCAGATCGCCTCGGCAACGCATCGTCACCGCAAATGCCAAAATTTACAAAAGTTGACCAGACTCGCGGCATAGGGAGGTATACTGCCTCTGCAATAGTGCAGTCAACGGAATGCCGCTCCATAAGAAGCGAAAAGTGTCCATGTATGTTGACTGTTTGCTTTCGTTGGCGAGCTGGGGGAATGGTGTCTGCAATGAGGCTGGACCTTACCATGGTGCGATGCTTTGTGTGTCTTCGAGATCCATTGAGCTATGCTAGTTGGTGCTTTTCTTTGCACCTTCAGAGTCACTCATACCAGATTGGTCAATGGTTAGAGTCCAGACAAACAGCCTCCTGGTCCTCCGGGTTGTGGGTTGGAATGAGGGTGGCTCCTTATTTCATAAAACGGGCTCTCTGTAGTCCAGTGCCAAAACCCGCTGCATTGTGGTAAGGTTTTTGAACCAAAGACTTTGGTTAAAAAACCCTAATCGTTCTCCTGTCTAGGCATGAGCAACCTGACAGTATTCTACCCACGCAGTACAATGGACCCTTCATCAAACAATTTCTTGATGCTCTGACTGTCGCAGAGGATAATAAACGGCGCCCTATCTGCTGAATCGAGCAGGGTGGATAGGGTATGGATGCTACTGCTCAGGCCTTCCCGTCTTCTTATCTCCCTTCTTGCGCTTCTTCCTCCTTATCGTCCTACTTTAACTTTACTTTTATCCCCCATTTTCAATCCCCTATTTGTGGCCCTCCCTAACTTGCTACAGTAGTCGCTTGTCTTCTGGTTTCAAATCACACACAGTCGCAGGGCGTCGCTCCAATCCAGTCGACAAATCCACATTCAACCAAGCGGACAACGTCAGTTCATCCGTTTCCCTTTCGAGTCCTAGCGTCTTGCTAAGACTGTCATGCCTCAACTTGCGCACTTTGCTACAGTTTGGCCAATAGGCAGCACTTGCCCGCACACTAGAGACCCTAGCGATCGATATTTGCTGTTTATCAGAAACCCGCCTGCAAGCTTTGACCTCCGTGGTTATCCTGCGATCCCCCACATGCGACACTGGCGGCACATTCTCATTGCGCCAGTCTGGCAATGATGCATCTTCAAATGCCGGTAAAGCTGGCGTCGGCATTGTTTTGAGTCCCCGGGCTGAAGCTGCCCTGATCGATTGGTTCTCAGTAAACAGTAAGATGTGCACCGTTAGATTAGCTGGTTCGTTCCTTGCTACGAAGTCGCGCGGGGACAGACGGTGCCTGTTTGTCATTGCAGCCTACGCCCGTACAAACTGAAGCACTGATTCGGTGCAAGATGATTTCTATCAGCAATTTCACGAGTTCCTTTGTTACAGAAGAAGCACGGATACTGTGGTGTTGGCTGACGATCTAAACGCCCAAGTCGGAAAATTATCTTCTGATGAGCTTCATCTTGGCATCCAACATGATGTAGGCTTCCGTAATGATAGCGGTGAGCGATTGCTACAGCTGTGTGAAGATGCTGGCCCCTTTGTCGCGAGCACTAACTTTCGACACGGCACCCGCAGAAGCGTGACTTGGCGGCCACCAGCCTCGGGCCAGCCATTGACGCAAATCGATCATATCGCGATCAGTTACCGCTGGAGAGGCCATGTCCAAAACTGTCGCTCGATTTGGAGCACGAGCGTGGACTCTGACTACGCACTTGTCTGCATTGACCTCCCAGTGCTTTTCGGTGGACGCCCGCAACATCGATGTGAACGGATTGACACCAGCCAGTTGGCGAAGTCAAGTGTTCTGAATGTGTATCAAAGTGCGCTGACATCTGGGCTGAGTAAGCGCCCACTAAACACCGTTAAAGATCACTGGTCGCATATTCGTCAAACGTTACTGTTAGCAGGCAAAGCAAATTGCCAAACCGGACATTGGATCTCTACACAGTCTCTGGAACTTATGGATGCTCGCCGACGTATTCCGGCTGGAAGCGAATACAATGAGACTCGCAAAAACTCTCAGGGCAAAACTACGTGCTAGCCTGAAGAAAGACCGCGAAAGGAGGTGGTCTCATCGTGCCTCTGAGATGGAAACAGCCACTGCCGTTGGCAATCATCGTAAATTATTCCGTCTGATACGGGAAACAGGCAGCAGCAGACCTGGTGTTAGCGAGACCATACACGATGAGTGGGGGCAGCCGATCTATAGCCCTGTCAAAACGCTTGGAGCGTTGGGCTGAACACTTTGCAATGCAGTTTAACCAACCTGAGTTATCGCTTTCTTCTTCGGGCATTGAGCGCCCTTCTCCTTTGGCCGTCTTCTTGGATCCGCCCTCGCGCGGAAGTCGAACGTGAGATCAGACTGTTGAAATTGCATAAGGCCGCAGCAGCAGATAGAATTCCCCCATCCCTATTCAAATTCGGGGGGCCTGCTCTAATAGATGATTTACACGAGTTGCTAGTGAAACTTTGGGAGCAGGAGACTGTCCCGACAGACTGGAATCGCTCCGTCATTGTCCCAATTTTCAAGGGAAACTCCCGTTTGGAATGTGGCAATCATGGCGGGATCAGTCTGATTTTGATTGTCTTTGAATTGCTTGCCTCTGTCATTCTACACAGACTGACTGGCACTTGTGAAAACCAGATTCGTGAAGAGCAAGACGGAGTTCGTCGAGGTCGGGGCTGCATCGACCACATCTTCACTAACATCTTCAAGTGTTGGAGCACCGCCATATTTATTGGCGACCCACCGTTGTTGTGTTTCTTGACATAAAATGTGCCTTCGACTCCGTCGTTCGAAGTGCCTTTTGGGACTGTCTGCTGAGGAAAGGTGTGCCTGATAAATATGTAAACATTATCAAAGCGCTGTACGCGCGTAGTTTGGGCGGAGTTAGGGTTTATGGCAAACTGTCGCCACCCTTCATTATCACCAACGGTATGAGACAAGATTGTCCGTTATTACCTTTCCTTTTTAACTTCGCTATTGATGAAGTCATGGAAACAGCGTTCGCTAGACACGACTTAGAAGGTGTGGAGCTACTTCCTGGTGAGTGCCTTCTTGACTTGGAGTATGCGGATGATATTGCCCTAATCTGTGACAGCTCCCGAACATGCCTAGCAGCACTGGACCGATTAGCATTGGCTGTCAATCATTTTGGTTTATGCTTTGCTCCATCGAAATGCAAAGTACTTCTCCAAGATTGGCAGGGACCCAACCCTGCGCTAACGCTTTGTGATGATCTGCTAGAGGTCGTTCAGGAATTCAAGTACCTGGACAGCTATATTAGCACCCGTGGGATTGAAGATCAGGTTACGAACCGTATAGCAAAAGCTCGAGGTGCTTTTGCCAATCTCCGCCACCTATGGCGCAGACGCGACATTGCTCTCGCCCTGAAGGACAGAGTTTATAACGCAGCCGTCCGTTCTACTCTCCTATATGGCTGTGAAACCTAGCCCATCAGGTCGACAGACATAAAGTGGCTCCTCATATTCGATCATCGCTGCCTTCGCAGCTTAGCTCATATCTGATGGGGGCACCGCG